GTCTATTGCCCAAGAGGGAGGTTACCAGAGCTAAAGGGGTCCTGCTTTGTGGAGTGTAGCAGTTTAATGTTTAAGACTGCAAGAAACTCCACCCTTGGAGGTTGGCTAGATTCACTGCAGGTGTAAAGCTGGTATTCTCGGATGTACCTCTTTTGGCTACACAGTGGTGACACCCACAACTAAGTCTAACCCTATACCTCCTCCAGTCTTTGGTTATCTACATGTAAAAAACAGCACATTAGGAAGAGAAAAGCCTCATTTACATGTTGCAATTAAGTCTGCTACTACTTCTGGGTAGGAAATTCCTGTTAGTCCAGCAGAAGAAAACTGAATATGAAGCAGCCATTTTGGCTGGTAATTCAATCTGATTAGCAAATGATAGCTCGATTCTTTTAAAAAATGTCAGCTCAAATGTCACTTCACTTAAGGTCCAGAAGATTCAGCTCCCTCTCCTGGTATAATCCCCTTTGAAGGCAGGGATTCAAGGCTTTCAGATAAAATCACCCAACTTGCGCATAGCTTGAACTGTACATTTTTTTCCATTACAAGTATCTTTTCATTAATGCTTCCACTTTGGTCTTCACCTATTGTTTCAGTCACTTTTATTACGAAAAAGCACATCACTTCTAATGAAGTGTCAACTCTGCTCAGTGACATTTAGCAGATGTGGCAAACAGCTGCCCACATGAAATTAAGAGAGAAAATAGCCCTCAGGAATGAGTCATAATACAGAATGATACAGGTGATGATTCATACTGACTGAAGGAAAATGGTTTATGTTCTCAGTGGAATTCACTTGCTACTATTAAAAATTTGACTTTTAAGTGGAGAAATATTTGAGAAAGCAGTGCTTCATGATTCCTATGTATCAGAAATTGAGAATACCAAAAAGCCCTTAAAAATGGACTTTCTTCAGCAATTATTGGGTAGATTAAAAAAAAAACTTCCCTCTTTTTGTTTTCCATTCCATGTATATTTTACTAGGAGCACCTGATCAGAAGCTTCCAACCGATGTTGAATGGAAAGGTGAGGGGGGAGCACAAAGGGAATAAATAGAATGCACGTAAGGATTCAAAGATGAGATAGCAAGCCATGCCTCAAGCCAACAATATTTCCTTTGATCTTCTCCAATTTAATGCATAACTTTTAAAAGGTTCAGCTTTCTAAAATAATTATTTATACATTGATTGCCTCATCAGGATTCTCATGTTGAATGACTGTGATTGCATTTTCTCCATAGTCTGATAACCAAGTTCCTGTTCTTATGCATGTTAAAATTTTAAATTTCACCAACTAAACATAGCACAAAGCATGTAAGTATTCTTAAAATGCAGAATTAAAAAAAATGTTACTAGTATAGCTAATTCATCACATCCCACTCCGAACAGGAACAATGTGTAGTTATTTACATTGTTTAGCTTGGCCCACTGACAACCTCCTTGCCATGCAAATATGATTAGAAACTAAGGAGTGTTGGGTAGTCATCTCTCGGGGATGGTGTAGTGAGTTCCGGAGTGTGCAGGGGGTTGGATTTGATGACCTCTTAGGTTGCTTCCAGCTCTATGACTCTATATTTACAAACTTGTAAGGAGAGCCTAACATTAAATATTTCAGCTTTTCTCCATAAATAAGGACATCTATATGAAATCAAACCATAAGAATACTTATAACAAATTAGATTACAAGCAGCAGCTTGTAGGTACAAGAATACCACGTCATAGTTTAATGAGAAGTTTATACAAAAGGTATCGACTGCTCTGAAGGGTAATTTAGCCAGTCAAAATAAAAACAAACGAACCACCAAAAACCTTACAGCCTGCAGAAAAACCAAAGTGGTATTTGGATCGATCTGGCTCAAAACAAAACAAAACTTAGCCACTTAATAATATGGGATTAATACCGTGACCCATACATCACATGCCTTGTGTTGGCTTTATTTTTAATAAGTAGCAGGAAATGGTCTAATTTCATATAAAAATGTTTTCTACAACTTATACTATAAATACAGACTAAACATGTGAACCAGGAATGTGAGAGCCTGCTATTGCCCATGGTTCCCTTACATCTTATCAGATAGTCGAAACAGGCGCTCTCTTCTGGTTAGCTGATAAACAGAAGCAGCCAGTAATCTCCGCTAGGAAGATTTTTCCCCAAGGGGAAGAGTGGGGACAGCTGCTGAGCTGGCAGAATCTTTCAAAAGAAGGTAGGGGGAAGAACATTTGATAGAACTGATGGCTGGCAACCCAAGACGGATCTAGGCAAGATGGATCTGGCTGTTGAAGATTGATGGCTTTAATACAGAGCAACATTGGCTGGTGAACCTGCAATACTGTTGTATTGTAAGTTCAAGGAAAGGCCACGGCAAGCCTCTCAAAAGCCGACCAAGGCACGATCCAGAGAAAAATGCTAAAGATTGGGGACAACCAAAGGTCAAGGACTATCTGACACACAGGGTCTGGGAGGGATCGAGGAAGACCATGTTCCTCCAGTCATGGAGACAAACCAGAATCAGAATGAGAAAGGAAATACTAGCCAGCTTCTTGTGTCCTTTTCTTAACTCTAGAGGTAGTTAGGAGTCTTTAGAATTAGAGACATATACATACATATTCAGCTAACATTACAGCTTGGAAACGTTTTCAGCAGAGAAAAGGTTCCCTTTTAATAATCTCAGGCCATTGTGGGTACCTTCCAAGTGGGCAAAGGGATGCAACTATCTACTTCTAGAGTATGCTTGCAAAACTGGCTGGGGAAAGTAAAAGAAAATGCTCCTTGAGTTAATGTCATTTTTTTTTTTTTAAAGGTAGGGGGATGCACAAGAAGTGTTTTGCACTGGGTCTTGCATCGAATCCTGTGAATTTACAAAAACCCATGACATCATATACAACACGTAAACATACGAAAACTAATACATTTTTAACTCTAATTGTAATGATGGAAAATTCAGAAGTTATTTTGAACCGAGCTACAGTATTGGGAACAAAGCTCTTATTTTCTCCTGCTTCGTGTTTGATAACAGACTGTTCAAATTTCATGAGTGTATAGAAGGGGATATTAAAAGTGCTGTTAGTCTGGTTAAAATCTGACACGCGCATCTCTTTGAAATGACATCCAAACAAGATTTCAATTATAAACCTATCATATCGTGTCTATTTCAAACAGCGTGATATTTGTAGTAATGTCAGCAGTGATAAAAGCCCATTATTATTTTTCAGAATGTGAAAGCTGGCTTTTCCACTTTTAAAATTTATGTAACTATAGCAAAAATAAAAACTAAGTAATTTTGTCTCACAAAATAAAAACTTCTTGTACATGTCACGTTAAGTGATTCATAAGACAGCCATGGAGATTTCAAATATTTAGGATTTTTTTAAAAAAGGAAAATAAAAATCATCTAAAATATTTACCCTTAGAAAAATAGTGAATCATGAATTCACCCTGTATTAAAATAAATCTTGCATGCACTATAGATATTATTCAAACTATGGAAAAAATCAAAGTTGAAGTGCACAACTGGGAATATTCTTTTATGATGCTCATTCTGATTTTGATTATTTTCAACTTTTTTTTTTTAAGAATTTGGAACTCTGTAAAGTAACTGAGACAGGCTCATTTCCAAAAGAACACTGCAATGGCAAGAGCAGAGATATATAAGAATCTTGATAAGACCTTGAAAAAGAAATGCAGAAAACTACAACCACTGGGAAAATTGGAACCATTTACAAGTACCACCTAATGTTTTTAAATGGTGCAAAACAGATTTATGTTTGTAACCCAGAGCACCATTCTATTGGCAGAACTAATTCTTCCTCCTTTTCCCATAATCCTCAAATGTGCTCCATGTGGGATGATCTGGAGCAGGTTCAGATAGGAGACAGTGAAGAGAAGCCTGTTCCTCAAGTGGAAGTCCACTGCATAATAATTAATCTTTAGAGTACTTTGCTTCATTATCAACATATATCTAATTAAACCACACAATCGACAAATGCGTAGCAATCTTGCAACTGCTTGCATTTTTAATATCAAAGTAGTGATGAGCATGTTAACAGTTAAGCTCTGAATCTGAGAATAAGAGTAGCTTCTGTCTGAAGGAATTGCATCTTTATTTCTATTTTGCTGACATTTTAAAGCACGGTTTCTCTGGAAAGAGGCTAACAAATTTTAAAAAAGCATTTGCGTGGTGGCAATTTTGAAGGTTTAGTTATGAACCCAAGGGGAACATACACAGAAAATGATGTTTCTTTAGAATTACCCTCTGAAATTGATCACAAACCAAGACTGTAATTCAAGGTAGCAATTCCACTGACAGGACTTCTTCCATCCTTTCCATGGGGAGGTGCTTGCCCTGTGCAACACAACACAACACAACACACTAATCTCCATATTTCATTTTAGGCATTTTCCATGTATTATTTTAGAAGTAGTCTTTTTTCCCCTTGACTTCCATATTTTAAAATCATATTTTGTCTCCACTTCACAGAATAAATGTATAATGGTTATTTTTCAACCACTATAGAAACTGAGTTTTGCAAGGACACTGATGGAGCATTAAAAACAGTTTCGACTGCTTGGTTTAGTTTCGACTTTATTCCTTTCTGCTATAGCTTCGAAAATACAAATATACTTTTCCTCAACTGCAAAATGGTACATTTATGGCTTTCTTGGATGATATTCTAGCTTTATATTGAGATGCCTGTAAGACTTTAAAAAGGGACAATCGCTCTATATAATCTATATATTTTAACGGGAGATGGAAGAGGATTTTAAGTAATATGGAGCACAATAATTTTTTATTTTCCAGAATGGATATGCAAAAGTGCAGACCTCAGAAAGCTTTGAATGGCAAGAAAGCAGGCCACTGTTGCAAGAAAGAAGATAGCAGACTTGGTAGCATTTTTTTTTTTTTTTTTTTTACAAAAGTGCTTTTGCATTGAACCCTGTGACAAATCCCAAAACTACAATTGCGCATTTTCTGTTGCAGTTTGTATGCTGGGGGGGGGGGGGGGGGAGCTGACAGTAATTTATTTTTAAGGGCTTATTGACCACAACAGGCAACTAACTGTGGAATTTATAGGGAAAATAAATTAATGCATCTGGAATCATTCTTAGGGAATCCTATATTTAAAGAGAAGTCTCTAGGAACGAGTATTTAAATTAACTACAGATAAAAACCAGCACTCATCTAGGAAAGTATGCCTTGCAACTCTTGAATTCGTAACAGGCTTTATACTCACTGCAAAAAACACACCTCATTGTTCTAATGTAAGTAAATGTTTTATCTTGAAGTAATGGATTTTTATCCACTTTTGAACATCTTACAGATAGAGTGGTTTAATAATGACAGAGCTATGATTCACTTTGTAATCATTACACCAAGCTCCATGGTGCTTGGAAGTCTAGCGGTTAACTCTAACTCAACCCAAAGCACAATTCATCAGCTTAGAGTTGCCCAATGTCCTGATTATTCACTTTGGGATGAGAAACCTCCTTTAAAAAAAAAAGAGAGAGAGTTATCACCTGCACAACTGAACTACAGTTCATTGTGTTCAAAAGGAAGTGTGAACACTAACCAAAGTAATCAACTAGCCAAAGTACTGATGAATAAGAATATGTCACTAGTACACCCTAGTGGTGTCCAAAATAATAGAGATCTGAAATGTCCCATTTTGAGTTTGAAATAGTTGTCCAACATTAGCTGAAATGCTTCGATTCTGAGATAGCTTGGAGCTTGGACCATCAGAAGCTCAGCCTCAGAATACATTTTTGAGCTGTTTTTTGAGCACAAACAGCTGTTTCAAATCCAAAACACTTTGCACCACTTGAATTCACCCTAGGTTACCTTGGAATTATCAGTAAAGTGAATCTTTTAACTAAAGATGATTAAAAAACTAATATTAAAAAAACCAGACTGTACTAGATGAGGAAAATATACTTCTCTTCTTATATGATACCTACTAAGAAGAAAGAATACAGTTTTTATAAGCAACCTGATAAATGCATCTAGAATAGATCTTTTCTTTTTCACACACACACAAAAAGGACTTCTGCAGACAGCCTGATCAGTGCCAGAGCCATTATCTTGTGAAGGTATCTTGTGAAGGGGTAGATAGTGGAAAAACATCACTTGAGAAAGATACTCAAGAGCTTCTTCAGCCCCAATTTTAGGGATGACTCTCTAATTGCAAACTGAAAATGAAATTAAGTTTTACCCACTTTGCTTGATCCCTGCACCTTTTTGGTGCTCCTGCATAAGCACAATGAACACACTAAGAATTTCTCACTCAAGCACAGAAGATAAGGACTCCAGTTTCCAACTGCCTGTTGGAACTTGCTCTTCACTTTGCTCTTTATTGCAGCTCTGATGACAGAGTTATTCTTAGGGTCCAGTCACACATCATTAGACAGAATTACACTGATTATAAAGATTATTTTTTCCAAGGGCCATTAGTGATCAGGAGGGGAAGTCCACTGTACCACAGGTTACTATGGGAGAATCTGAAATGATGGAAAGAGGTCATCCTCCCCAACTCCCAACTTCAGACATAATTTACATCATTTTCTAGACTTTGCAGAAAGGCTTTGGAACAACCACACCACAGTTAGGGCTTTCAAGAGCCAGTATTAAATGTTACATGTGTACATCTAAGTCAGTGCTTCTCAATCTCAGCAACTTTAAGATGTGTGGACTTCCACTCCCAGAATTCCCCATGCTGGTTTGGGAATTCTTGGAATTGAAATTCACACATCTAAAAGTTGTTGAGATTAAGAAACACTGATCTAAGCTGTCCCAATTCCTTTCAATTTTTAACAGTTAGCTTGCATCTTTCCTGAAAGATTTTTCAATTTAATATGTTGTGTTTATCAGATCCCATTTTGCACACTCTTCTTGCAAGACCCCATCTCAAAAATTAGCTTCATAAGAAATTAATAGTAATAATATCATCATCATCATCATCATCATCATTTTTATAACAATGCAAGCGCTGGCATTCCTGTAAGGCATGAGAGTTAAGAGCATTGTCCAGAAAAGCGAAGACTACAGTTACACAAAAACACAGACGTCAAATACCCGTTTCTGTAATAGCACTATTGTTCTTGCTTTTACATACAAAAGCATTTTTAGATAATCTGAAATTCAGGTTGATCACTTTTAGTCCCATTAATTTCACATGTATGCATGAGTATGAGAATTCAACTGCTGCTAATTGGAAAAGCAATTCCAAATTTTGTACTTATTACTGACAATTAATTACAAGAAATAATGCAAGCTGCCTACTTTAAGTTTGACCATATGCAATTTTTTCAACTCCAACTGGTGAATAAAAAGCATCTGGTAAATGAGCACAAGCTGCAATCTGATAAGGAAAATGCACATTTCAAAACAGATACTATATTGAAAAGCAGTAAACACACCTTACTATCCTCATTCTTATTTTAGAATCAGCAGATCCATGCAGACAACAAATAACCTCACATTTATGAACAGCAGAAATTAAAAAAAAAAACTGATGGCATCAATGCTTATTCCACATAGGAGCTGCAACTGGCCCCTGTGGAGACCTTTCAACAACCACAAACTCATCAGGGTTGCCAACTGCTTGATAGTGGATTAACAAATCCTGGATAGCACGTTCTTCAATCTGAAATGAGAAGGGAGGAAAGGGAGGGAGAAACTCTTAGAAATCTGGCAAAAACTGGAATAAGAACAAATGCTCACAGGGCAAAGCATACAGGGCAGTCACCAGATCTTTCATATATACTAAAAATGTTTAATGGGATCAATCACGCCTTATTACTTTCAACTCTGGATTCTCTAGTTAGAGAGCAATCCATAAGGTTTTAATGAAACAAAGCAGAAGGGAAGCAGCCACCAATTAGATCTAGCTATGCTACTGAAATAATGACGGTTCAGTGCAATCTTGATATGAAATGCTTAACCTAAATAAGCATATTGCAGTCTAAAACACTAAGAACACCATGTTGTATGGCATTTTTAGAAACATCAGTAAGGTTCCTTGGAACCAAAAAGAAGGAAGAGATGAAAAGAAGGCAAGAAACAGACATTCTTACAGTGCATAATGCTGACTTTTATTCTTTACCTGGATCAAAGCTAAAGGTTTTTCTCTACTTCGGATAAGAGCAGCTTCTTGCTGAAGTTCTTCTTCTACAATTTCTGCAAACGTGATAGGCAATGCTGCAGCTGGATTTCTCAAGGATGATGCTAACCAAGGACTGTAAGATAAGTTACAAATACAAAGCATCACAACTTTACAAGATATGCCTTTCCACATATATATTTACACTATAAATATAACTTACTTCTGATTTTCTGATTGTGTTGGTTCACAGGGATGTTCATTTTCTGTTCCAAGAGCAATGGCATTTGTGTCTCTACAGACAAAAATTAGTACAAAAGTTTTTAATTACAAATGTTCTTTAAGGCACAAAAAGTCAGAACGCAAAGCCCAAATAACTTGTATAAATGAAGTTCTCTATCTTCCACAAAGTAATGGCATGATCACATAGTGACTATTCACCAGGTACTAAAATGTTTAAACCAGCACTTCTGTGAACACATAAACAGCCACTGCAACTTTGGGATTTACTAGTATATAATATGAGTCAGTGGAATGGTATTTCAGGGAGAAACAATGTTTGAATAAAATAGAGCAATATTCGACTTCTGGGGAAGCAATGGCGGACTGAAGACAGTTCTACTATCAGTGGAGCTGATGATCATGGTGGAACAAGGAGCTGGTGAATGAACTGGCACCTCGAAATTCTTCTCTGGATAAAGGGGAGGACCTGGGATCACCCACAAGTGCTCCATACAGAGGCTCTCCACAAGGAGACCATAAAACAGTGGTCTCCAGCAGGCTTTAGAGCTCTGGGAGCCAAGGGAATGTCAGCTTTGCCCAAGCCGCATTTCAGAGCCTCCAAACGGACACTGGGTTCACCTACTTCCTTTCATAATCACTTTTGGAAATTGCTCGTTAACTGCTTTTTGGATATTAAGAACTTTAAGAACAAGTTTCATCACACCAGGCGATTCTCCTTCAATCCTCAGTGAAAGAAGTTTCAAGTAAGTTTAAGGACTTAATTTTTTTTTTATTTTGAAATAAACAGCAAAAGGGTGATTAGAACATTGATTCTGGAAAGTTAATAAATGGATTAAGGGGCCAGATGGATTGGAAATAAGATTTTGAAATTAATTATAAAGATCTTCCTATGGATTGTTTAAAATTCTATTAAAAATATACAAAGATTTTGAATCTAAATGTAAGATATGGGAAAATGTTGTGGATTAGAAAAAAACATGCTAAGAGGAGACTTTGAAGGCGGGACACTGTTGTTGTTTAGTCGTTAAGTCGTGTCCGACTCTTCGTGACCCCATGAACCATATT